TAATATCAGACAAAATAGATTTTAACACAGAAACTGTTAAAAGAGACAAAGAAACACACTATGTAATGATTATAGAATCAATTCAACAGGAAGATGTGACTATAACAAACATACATGCACCTAATTACAGGACACCTGGCTATTTAAAAGAAATGTTATTGGATCTAAAAGGAGACATAGACTCCCATGAGATAGTAATGGGGGACTTCGATATCCCACTTTCAGCAATGGACAGATCAACCAGACAGAAAATCAGCAAGCAAACAACAGAGCTAATTGACACTACAGACCAAATGGACCCAATGGATATCTACAGAACTTTTCATCCTACAGTTGCAGAATGCATTCTTCTCACCAGTACATGGAACTTTGTCTAGGATAGACCACATGCCAGGCCACAAAGCAAGTCTCAGAAAATTCAAAAACATCTATATCACACCATACATCTTCTCTGACTACAATGGAATGAAGCTGGAAATCAACAATTCAAGAATCTCTAGAATATATGCAAACACATGGAGACTGAACAACTTGCTTTTGAATGAGAAGTGGATCATAGAAGAAATCAAAAGAGAAATCATGAAACTGTTGAGGAACAGTCTGGTTTTTTTTTTTTTTCATATTATTTGTTGAACTCTTTACTTAGTATAGAGTTAATCCTATGTGTATAAAGTTAATTGAAAATAGATCTTAGTAAAAAATAAGACTGGAAATAGGCTAGCGGGAGGAGGAAGAAGAGTGGGAGTGCCAGTGGGAAGGCAGGTACAGTGGGAAGAATCACCATGTTCCTAAAGTTGTATTTATGAAATGCATGAAGTTTGTATACCTTAAAGATTTCTGGCAAAAAAAAAAAGAGAAATTAATTCAAAAGTACATGTTTTAGTATAACATTGGCAATGTTTCTGTTATGCAGATAAGTAGCCAAATTTTCTTTTCTTAATTTTTAAGTAAAATTTTAACAAACATAAAAGACAAACAAATCAGTTTTGAACTTAATGACATTCCTCATTCCCTCTTGAGTAAACTGCTCTAGTTTATGTACTACTCCCAAGGACATCAGGCATGTCTGATTGAATTTGTACTCCTATCACCAGCTTGTTGCATGGTTCCAGGCACCTAATACAAATAAAGCACTCAAAAACATATGACACTGAATTGTTAAATCAACAGCAGGAGTCACTGTGCACTTACTCCCCATGTAGGATCTCTGTCCTTAATGTGTTGTACTATGCGAATTAATGGTAAAACTAGTATGCAAACAGTACTTTGTACTTTGTATGTCTGTGTGGGTGCAATCTGTTGAAATCTTTACTTAGTATATACTAAGTTGATCTTCTGTATATAAAGATCATTAAAAATGAATCTTAATGAAGAATGAGATCGGATGGTTTGTGGGTGGGAGAGTGGTTATGGGGGGAAAAAAACGCTATAACCCAAAAGTTGTACTTTGAAAATTTATATTTATTAAATAAAAGTTTTCTAAAAAAATATGACATTGAAACAAACTGTAAAGACTATGGATTCTATACTGATATTGATAACAAAGAAAGGGAAATGTGAGATCTTCCTTTTAAAGATTTTGCTCAATATATGGAGATGTGGGGAAAAGCAAGACTCATAGGATAGAAAGGTACATAAAGTAATTATTCAGCTGGGTTTTAAAAAGATAATTGTTGGGGCCAGCGTTGTAATGTAGCAGATTAGGCTGCCCCTGCAATGCCACATCCCATGCGGGTGCCAGTTCACATTCTGGCTGCTCTACTTCCGATCAGGCCCCCTGCTAATGCACCTGGGAAAGCAGCTGAAGATAGCGTAAGTGCTCGGACTCTTGTCATCCATGTTAGAAACCCAGATGAAGCTCCTGCCTCCTGGTTTTGGTATGGCCCAACCCAGGCCATTGCAGCCATGTGGGAAGCGAACGACATGGAACATCTCTCTCTCTCTCCTCTCTCTGTAACTCTGCCTTTCAAATAAATAAACAAACCTTTTTAAGAAAAGGCAGAGAGAGAGAGAGGTCTTCCATCTGTTGGTTCACTCCTCAGTCGGTCACAACAGCCGGAGCTATGCTAATCCGAAGCCAGGAGCCAGGAGCTTCCTCTGGGTCTCCCACATGGGTGCAGGGGCCCAAGGACTTGGGCCATCTTCCACTGCTTTCCCAGGTCATAGCAGAGAGCTGAATTGGAAGTGGGGCAGCCCGGACTTGAACCAGCACCCATATGGGATGCCGGCACTGCAAGCGGCGGCTTTACCCACTAAGCCACAGCACCAACCCCATAAACAAATCTTTTTTAAACATTTTATTAAACATACATGAACATGTCTATGGTTTTCTTTTCTTTTTTGAAGATTTATTTATTTATTTATTTACTTACTTACTTATTTATTTGAAAGTCAGAGTTACAGAGACAGAAGGAAAGACAGAGAGAGATGTCCAGATGGTTGCAATGGCCAGGGCTAGGCCAAGCCAAAGCCAAGAGCCAGGAGCTTCCTTCCAGTCTCCCACATGGGTGGCAGAAGCCCAAGCACTTGGGCAATCTTCAGCTGCCCTCCCAGGCTCTTTACCAGGGCGCTGGATTGGAAGTGGAGTAGTGGGGACAATAAGCCAGTGCCTATTTGGGATGCCTTCATTGCAGGTATCAGCTTTATCCACTACACCACAATGGCGGCCCCAAAGTTTTCTTTCTATACAAGTACAACCATTGTCTTGATAAACTCAGGTTTCCAGCACAGACAACAGTAACACAAAAAGACATACATACACAGAGAAAGAGTGAACCCATGAAATCATAATGTCATTACCTTGGGTCTACATTTGGGATACTCATGGTCACCTGGGAGCACCTTGAAAGAAATTGGTACTCGGTCAGCTCTCCGATTGGCACAGAAGGCATCCCAGACAGCTCTATGTACAGCATTATACACGACATCCAGGCCCGTAAGGGTAACAAAGGCCATAGGCCGGCAGCATAATTCCACAGGGAAGTCCCACTGTGTGGGGCTCATGGTCAGGTTGTCATGAAAAAGCTGAAAATACAAATGAAAACACATTCATAAGCAATTCTTTCAGATCTATTTCTAATATATGGACCGCCACTGAAAAAATTACAAAAAGGCAAAAAGCTTTGAGCAAGCTGGAAGTAAGGGAACTAGAAATCACTTACAGAACTTTAAATCAGTGCTGTAGCTACGTAACAAGAACATACAAACCACATAAATGATTTTACATTTTCTACCAGTCATATTAAAAAGAAACAGGTGAATTCATTTCAATAACACTCTCAGTAGGTCCCAGATATTATCATATCAACAACATAAAAGTTATCAATCAGATATTTTACTTTCTTTGTACTACACTAAGTCTTCACATTTTGGTGTGTATTTTATCCACACAATATTTCAATCTGGACTAGCTTATTTCAGATGCTCAACAGCCACACATGGTTACTGTGCAAGATGGACAGCTGTCAACTGGCAAATCTGTCCCAAATGTACTGTATAAAAACTGCACCTAGGGCCGGCGCCGCGGCTCACTAGGCTAATCCTCCGCCTAGCGGCGCCAGCACACCGGGTTCTAGTCCTGGTCGGGGCGCCGGATTCTGTCCCGGTTGCCCCTCTTCCAGGCCAGCCCTCTGCTGTGTCCAGGGAGTGCAGTGGAGGATGGCCCAGGTGCTTGGGCCCTGCACCCCATGGGAGACCAGGAAAAGCACCTGGCTCCTGGCTTCTGCCATCGGATCAGCGCGGTGCGCCGGCCGCAGCGTGCCGGCCGCGGCGGCCATTGGAGGGTGAACCAACGGCAAAGGAAGACCTTTCTCTCTCTCTCTCTCTCTCACTGTCCACTCTGCCTGTCAAAAAAAAAAAAAAAAAACAAAAAACAAAAAACAAAAAACTGCACCTAGGCCGGCGCCGCGGGCAGTTAAATATGCATGCTTATTCTCCAGCAAAGGCTGGAAACATGAAGGCAAAGAGAGATATACACTGAATGCTTCCACGAGGAAAGCTGAGGAAGAGAAATTTTCAGATTTCCTGAAGGAAGCCAACGGAGCCACAGATCAAACCATGACGTGGAAGGAGGTACAGGGGTACAAGTGAGCATTCTGGGTGGACACCACCGAGTGCAAGGGAAGCAATCTGTCAGGCAGCATGACAAGTAATTATAATAATGCGGCTTTACTATAACGAACTGGAGTTCAGGGGGTAAGACTAACGTCTACTAACAACGAGATTCAGAGATGATGTCCTACACCAATCGCAACTACAAAATGAGCAAAGGAGGAATGAACTCAGTTTGAGGCCAAATGGTTATTTAAAAAAAAAAAAAAAAAGTCGATGGTGAGGATGTGGAGCACAAACTCAACTGAGGCTTAGATTCCATCCCCGTGGTCACAGAATTCTGCCCCAGATAGCTCCAATGAAGGAAGCTGGAGAAAGAATCTTGCACAAAAGGCATCTTCCTCTTCTATCACCCCACCCCGTTAAGTGGGAGGCGCGGGGGGCGTCCTGGAAATGGGTGCGTCTTTTGGGAGGGGCTGGAAGAGAAATGCCAGGACTGCACCCTCACACTTAGGGAAACGCAGGCCCCAAAACCAGTGCTGTTAAGAGCTAGCTCTTCCTCGGCGGCCTCGCCTGGCCCCATGGGTCTCTGGGCCCGGACTCACCCAGGCCGCACGCCCCGGACCCGCAGCAGCCGTGGCCGATCGCCGCCAGGCGGGAGAAGATGACAGGAATGACAGGAAGCAGGCCGAGAGGCCACAAAACGTCCGGACCCGTCCCTATGGCCGCGGCCCCGCCGCAGGCTCCAGCAGGCCGGACCTCCCGGTCCCCACCTCCTCTGGCACAGGAAGCACTTTCTGGACGTGAGTGACAGCGTCCTACACCAATCGCCGCCCTGGAGTCGGACGCCGCTCTCCACAACGCGAAGGAAGCTCTCCAAGTCCAACGAGAGAAAGAGTCGGGGGCGGAGATGGAAGGAGCCAATGGGAAAAACGAGGGGGAAGAGGGGGGCGGAGCCTCCGCCGGTACCGCCCCGCAGCCTCTCCTCAGACTCCGGGTCGCCTCACCCACGGCGGCCTCCGGCTCCCGGAGCACAGCCGGGCCCCTGTGGTCGGCGCCTGGACGCTGCCGAGAGCCTCGCGGCGTGCGTGACTCTGGTCTTCGGCTGCGAAGGGTGCGTGGCCCCGCAGCCGAGGCGCGGAAGGGGGACGCCCCGGCCTCGGGGGCCAGTGCACTTGTGCCCTCTTCGTTGTGAACGCCAGCAGCCCGGGAGAGCCCCGCGACTGGCGCGATGAGTGCCAACGAGGACCAAGAGGTGAGCCCCACCCGAGGCTGGACGCCCGTGTTCCCGCGCAGGCGCGCAGCCACAGCCCGGGGCCCGCACGTGCCCTGCGCCCCGCGCGCCCTCCGAGCCTGGCCGGTGCGGTGCGAGAGAGGACAGGCGTGCGTGAAAGGGTGGGGGCCCGCCTCTGCCTGCCCACTCCCTGCCGTCTTTCATATTTGCTCACCCGGGGGTCTCCGCAGATTTCCTTGATGACCAGGGTGACTGTCCTTGGTCCATGACCCAGTTGTCTCCTTGACTCCCGCGTGGTGTTCAGAGCTTGTGCCCTGAGCTGGCCTGGAATCTGGTCACCTCTAAGTCCTAAAAACTCTTGACTGGTAGAGAGTTAACTTAGTTAAGTCTCCTAGTGGAGAAAAATAATGACCCGCGTGTCTCTGGTTTCTGTCCAAATTGTTTTATGAAATCATTTTTCCGTGTTGGCAGATGGATGCCGAATCTTGAGTATACGGCGTGCCATCAGAATTGTATGCTTCGTGCGCACGTATTTTCTCTTTAAAATTCTGTTTTGACACGTTGGAGGGACGCGCCAGGTCACCTCTGGGGGCACCTTCTACCTTTGTGATGGGTAAGGCGCAGTGAGTGGCCCCCGGACCGCGCCGTGAGGCTGTGCTAGGATTGCAACCAGACCCCAAGCCTCCTGTGCATTCGCTAATACACTTGTCAGGTATTGCTTTAATTAGCACTTCCACACGATAGAAGTGATAGCATCTGTGGATCAGAAATTAGCTTTAAATTAAGACCCAAAGTTCAACAAGCAAGTTGACACCTGAATTCCTTCAAAGCAGTTTTGCTACGGGAGTCTCTCAGCCAAGGCATTACTAGCTTTGTCTTCCAGCAATGCACAGAGCATACATGAAGGGGAAGGTTTCTCCAAGTTGGAACCATTTGAGTGATTGTTAAATAAACAACCTGCACTGCACCCCACTCCGTTTGAGTCAGAATTTCTGCGGTGGGGCCCCGAATCTCCATTTCCACTCTTCCATGTGACTGATTTTCAGATCTTTGAAGACAGTTTCCTGCCCAATGTCCTTTTCTTGGCAAAATTGTTCCCTTAGCTTTTATTCCTAAGCCCATTATTTCAGTTCCTTTACCATCCTGGAATCCTGTCAGCCGGCAGGTTCTAAGCTTATGTCCTGTTGTCAAATTGTTGCAAAACGCCTTTTCTACAGTTACATTCAGTAACGTTCACTGTCAACTAAACCGTTTAAGTGCTTTTTATAAAATAATTTGTCTTTCTCTATTTGTGTATCTAAGAATGTAAACATAATTTCTTCTACTTAATGCTGTTTAATTGCATCACGAGCATGTTTTTTAAGGACATTTTGAGTTCTTAATTCTGCCGCCAGCGTGATGCACTGTCCCATCATTGAACCTGCCTTTTGTTTATATTCCTGTTCCAGTCATTAAGGAGTAGCTGTATTTTGAGTCAGTTGTTTATAACAGTCTAATCTTCTTAGTTGTTCCTGAATCCAGTTTGAATTTCTATATTTTTCTTTGTAAAGGTAACAAGAGAAACTTGTGGAGCTTTGCTAAAATCTGTGTAGACTGTTTCCTGCTGGTCTCTGAATCAGAAGTACCATCTCTGAGAAGGATTATTTACATATGCCCTCATTTCATATATTGGCTAGGTTTTAGGGACTACTCTTTGTTCTCCCACCATTTCTTAAAAAATCAATTCTAAACTTGTGTCCATGTCACAAGGTCGCCATCTTTACTCTGTAGAATTCATGGTTACACCTTTTTGAAAACCAGAACATGTACACGAGGGCAGTCTTCTCAGAGAATTGTCCGTGGTCAAATGGTGCTTGAGACTCAATCTTTATATTATTATTATTTGTATGTATATCATAAATACAACATTAGGAACATAGTAATTTTCCCACTGTACCTGCCCTCCCACCCACTCTCCCCTGCTTCCTCCTCCCTCTCCTCTTAAGTCCGAGAAGAAAAAGAAAGAATGAAATTTAAAAAACTAAAAGAACTGTTCGTCAACAGTATAGACAAGGGCCATTCTATGTCATAGCTTCTCGAAGGTGATTTCGCTTTTTTCCCCCTTCCACAAGACCAAGTCATTTGTAAGACCACTGTATTCTAAGAAACACTCCCCAGCAAAGTTGCTAGATACGTTTTGTGTTGCAGTCCTTTCTCCTATCTTGAGTAGATCCTTACCAACCTTTCTCTTTAAGTTTTCTTTTTTTTTTTTTTTAAGATTTACTTATTCACTTCAGAGGCATAGTTACAGACAGAGAGAGAGGTCTTCCATCCCCAAAAGGGATGGAAGGTTCATCCCCAAAGGGAGCTGCACGGATCCTAAGCCAGATGCCAGGAGCTTCTTCTGGGTTTCCCATGCAGGTGCAGGGGCCCAAGTAATTGGGCCATCTTCCACTGCTCTCTCAAGCCATTAGCAGTGAGCTGGAGCAGAAGTAGAATAGCAGGGACTCGAACCAGCGCCCATATGGGATGCCAGTGCCACAGGCAAATGCTTAAACTATTATGCCACAGCGCACCGGCCCCTAGTTTTTTTGTACAATTTTTTTTAAGTTTTAAATCATCTCATTAGAGAGATTACAAATATAGTAATTTATGTAATAGGAAGTTCTTGTGCTTCGTATTTTTTTTTTTTAATTTTTTGACAGGCAGAGTGGACAGTGAGAGAGAGAGACAGAGAGAAAGGTCTTCCTTTGCCGTTGGTTCACCCTCCAATGGCTGCCGCGGCCGGTGCACTGCGGCCGGCACACCGCGCTGATCCGATGGCAGGAGCCAAGAGCCAGGTGCTTTTCCTGGTCTCCCATGGGGTGCAGGGCCCAAGCACCTGGGCCATCCTCCACTGCACTCCCTGGCCACAGCAGAGAGCTGGCCTGGAAGAGGGGCAACCGGGACAGAATCCGGCGCCCCAACCGGGACTAGAACCCGGTGTGCCGGCGCCGCAAGGCGGAGGATTAGCCTAGTGAGCCGTGGCGCCGGCCGTGCTTCGTATTTCTTATCTCCAGGTTTAGTGCTCTTTCCACCCCAGGCTATTACTCTTCAGCAGAGTGATAATAAACCCATGCTCTGGAGTGGCTTTAAATTGAATCTTGTTTTCCTCCCTGGTAGGAAGGAAAAAATAAGGTAATAAGATCTTCCCAGGATGGATGTTAGAATTACATAAGATGATGTAGCGTAAAACACTTAGGAGGACCTGACACATAGTTTTAAAACAAGTATCTATAGCATAATTGTAATGTGGGTGTTACACATGCATAATTGAGAATATCATTCCCTATAAGTTAGCCGAGTTCCACATAGTTGAGTGGTCTTAAGTCAGTAACTAAAGATCCTCTATTTCTAATCTGCTTCTACTACTAAAAAAAATTAATGGTTTCATTTCTTTCAGATGGAACTAGAAGCTTTACGTTCTATTTATGAAGGAGATGAAAGTTTCCGGGAATTAAGTCCAGTTTCATTTCAATACAGGGTAAGACATGTCATGAGTAGGAACCTTACCAGTTCGCTAGAAAAAACTAAAGGTTACTGAAAATGCTGATTTTGGTTTTTAAGCTTAGTGGTTGAATTGTATTCTACCTTTATATTTTCTGAAGCATTTAAATGAAACTCATCAACCATGACTTACTATTTTTAACATTTGAAAACTTAATTCAGAAATGTTTTAAAAACCAAGAGATACTTGTTTTTATTGTAACAGAATCATAAAGTGTTAGAAATGGAAGAAACTTTGGAAATTATATGATTTTTACCTCCTAGTTAGTCCTGTTTTCCTTACCTTACATAGCTGTTACTGAGAATTATCAGAATTAAAATCCAGGTCTGGGTTCCAAGTCTAGTGTTCTTTTCAGCACCCTGTGACATGATCAAAAAAAGTTGATATTTTATTAAATCTATATACTAAACACATGTGAATTTTTTTTACTTATGTGAAATGTAGATTTTCTTTAAAAAGAGAATTCCTTTTAACTCTGTCTTCAACATAACAGTATCAATATTTTACTTTGTAAATAAATAACACAAACCGTATGTCAAATGATGTATCCAGATGATTATAAGTAGTGATGTAATGAAAAAGTATTTTTGTGAAAGGTTCATTGTTATAAATATTGTCATCATTTAAATTATATGAGAATGATAATGATCCTTTTTTTTTTTTTTTTTTTTTGACAGGCAGAGTGGATAGTGAGAGAGAGACAGAGAGAAAGGTCTTCCTTTTTGCCGTTGGTTCACCCTCCAATGGCCGCCACGGCTGGCGCGCTGTGGCCGGCGCACCGCGCTGATCCGATGGCAGGAGCCAGGAGCCAGGTGCTTTTCCTGGTCTCCCATGGGGTGCAGGGCCCAAGCACCTGGGCCATCCTCCACTGCACTCCCTGGCCACAGCAGAGAGCTGGCCTGGAAGGGGGGCAACCAGGAAAGAATCCGGCGCCCCGACCGGGACTAGAACCCGGTGTACCGGCGCCACTAGGTGGAGGATTGGCCTAGTGAGCCGCGGCACCAGCCGAGAATGACCCTTAAATATGACTTAGTGGAAATTGTCACAGGAAATAAACTGTTTGCAGTTAACTTATTTTGGATTCTATCCCTGTTCAACTCTTCTAAATTCCCGTAAAAGCTCAGCAATATCTTTACAGTATCTCCATACGTAGAACAACTAAGGGACTTTTCATGGTCAAAGTTAACAATGGAGTTAAGTCCAAGGCCCTTCTCATTGACTCCAGCTGCCTCCCCAGACTTTGCCCGTCACTGCCACTTTCTCCTAGCAAAGATGAGGTTGAGAGTATTCATATACTTTCTAAATGGTTCTGTTAACAACAGTGGTGTAATTGAGCACGCTTCTACAGAGTCCTCTAGGACATGTATGTGCACTGTGCACTGGACACTCTGATGTAGCTATAGGGTGAATTTCAGAGGAAAGAAACATGAGATGAGGGGACAGTGTGATGACAAAGAACACGGAGTAGAGCTCGCTCTGCCCGTGCCCCAGTCAGCCCTAGTCCCCGTGCTGCAGAATAGAGCAGTAGGCTTCTGACTGACTTCCTGCTCTTTGTTCTTTCTTTGGCTTCCCCATTACACTCCATCGTTCAGGCTCTGACAGACTGCTAGCTCACTCACGGAGACACCACAGGAGTCATCCAGTTGTCTTGTTTTATAAAGTGTCTCTGTGGTTTCTGCTTGCCCCAAGAAGGACTGGATTGCTTATCCTGACACCTGAAGGCCTTCTCTGTTTTGAACTGTCCATCCAAGCTTTCCCAGCTGCTGGCGTCCATTAGACCAAATGAGTTATTAAATGCATTCCTGGCCAGCGCCGCGGCTCAATAGGCTAATCCTCCGCCTGTAGCGCCAGCACACCGGGTTCTAGTCCCGGTCGGGGCGTCAGATTCTGTCCCGGTTGCCCCCCTTCCAGGCCAGCTCTGCTGTGGCCAGGGAGTGCAGTGGAGGATGGCCCAGGTGCTTGGGCCCTGCACCCGCATGGGAGACCAGGAGAAGTACCTGGCTCCTGCCTTTGGATCAGCGCGGTGCGCTGGCCACAGCACACCGGTCGCGGCGGCCATTGGAGGGTGAACCAACGGCAAAGGAAGACCTTTCTCTCTGTCTCTGTCTCTCTCACTGTCCACTCTGCCTGTCAAAAAATTTTTAAAAATTTAAAAATAAAATAAATAAAAAATAAATGCATTCCTGTTATTTTTTTAAGTACCCTGCATTCTCCCTTTGGACATACATTAGCTCTTTTCCTCACCTCTCAGCCATTATTCATTCTGCTTTTCCTTTAAGGGCTAATCAAGCTTCTTCTGTGGCATATTTGGCTCATGACTCTTGTCTCTGCCCTGACTTTGAAGTAGAATTAACCATTCCCCATTTATAGGTTTTTTTTTTAATTTGTTTATTTAAAGTCATGGGGCCAGTGCTATGGTGGAGCAGGTAAAGCCACTGCTGTCAGTGCTGGCATCTCAAATGGGTGCTGGTTCAAGTCTCAGCTACTCCACTTACTATCCAGCTCCCTGCTGGTGCACCTGGGAAAGCAGTAGAGGATGGCCCAAGTGTTTGGGCCACTACACCCACATGGAAGATCCAGAAGAAGCTCCCAGCTCCTGAATCTGGCCTGGCACAGCCCCAGCCATTGCGGCCTTTTGGGAAGTGAACCAGCCAATGGAAGACCTTTCTCTTTCTCTGCCTCACTCCTCTCTGTAACTCTTTCAAATAAATAAATAAATAAATCTTTTTTTAGAAAAAAAAAAAAAGAAAGTAAAAGAGAGAGAGGGAGAGACAGATTGAAGACCTCTCTCTCTCTCTGCCTCTCCTCTCTCTGTGTAACTCTGATTTTCAACTAAATAAATAAAAATCTTAAAAAAAAAGTAGAAAAAGTAGAACAGAGGGAACTCAAAAGAGCACTCATATGGGATGCCGACATCACAGGTGGCAGCTTATCCTGTTGCACCACAATGCCAGCCCCTCTAAAGTATCCTTTAATAGACATTATCCCTAACCCATAAATCCACAACCCATTTAAGGATCACGCATTGCATTTTGTTGTCTTGTTTTTGTTTTTTTTTAAGATTTATTTATTTATTTGAAAGTCAGAGTTACACAGAGAGAGGAGAGGCAGAGAGAAAGAGAGGTCTTCCATCCAATGGTTTACTCCCCAATTGGCTGCAACGGCCAGATCTGCACCGATCCAAAGCCAAGAGCCAGGAGCTTCTTCTGGGTCTCCCACGTGGGTGCAGGGGCCCAAGGACTTGGGCCATCTTCTACTGCTTTCCCAGGCCATAATAGAGAGCTGGATCAGAAGTGGAGCAGCCAGGTCTCAAACCAGCGCCCATATGGGATGCCAGCACTTCAGGCCAGGGCATTAACAATCTGCGCCACAGCGCCAGCCCCAACATTTCGTTGTCATTGTTTATTCTACTCTAACACCAAAGAGCTCCCAGCCTTCTTCTCTTGACGCATTTATGACAAAAAGAAAACAGGCCAGTTTTGTTATGTAATGTTCCCAGATATGGACTGATGTTTTCCTCTGTTAAGATTTAATTAAGGGGCTGGAGCACTGTGGCACAGTAGGCTAAGCCTCCAACTGCGGCACCAGCATTGCATGTGGGTGCCAGGTCATGTCCTGGCTACTCCTCTCCTGAGGAGTGTTGCTGCCACTTGGGGAATGAACTAGCGATGGAAGATCTTTCTCTGTGTCTTTCCCACTCTCTGTCCGTAACTTTACCTCTCAAAAAAATAAATTAAATCTTAAAAAAAGACAAAGATTCAAATTAAGGAGCCAGGGTTGCGGTACAGTGAGCTAAGCTGCCCCTGTGATGCCAGCATTTCATATTGGAGCACTAGTTTGATCCAGCTCCCTGCTAATGCACCTGGGAAAACAGATGACCCAAGTACCTGGCCCCTGCTGCCCACTTGTAATACCCAAATGGAGCTCTGACCTCCTTACTTCAGCTTGGCCCACTCCTGGCCATTGTGGCCATTTGAGGATGAATGAGCAGATGAAGACGCATCTCTCTGCCATTCTCCCCTTCAAATAAATCTTTTAAAAATAAAGATTAAAATTAAGTATTTTTGATAAGAATACCACATAGGAGGATGGCCCAAGTACTTGGGTCCTGCACTCCATGGGAGACCAGGAGAAGCACCTGGCTCCTGCCATCGGATCAGTGCGGTGCGCCGGCCGCAGCGCACCAGCCGCGGTGGCCATTGGAGGGTGAACCAACAGCAAAGGAAGACCTTTTTCTCTGTCTTTCTCTCTCACTGTCCACTCTGCCTGTCAAAAAAAAAAAAAAAAAAAAAAAAAGAATACCACATAGGTGATGTATGTACTACCACAGCACCTACATGAAATGGACACTTATACAGAGAGTACATAATATCTTCTAGAATCATCACTGGGGGCTGAGGCTGTGGTGTAGCGGGTAAAGCCGCCACCTGCAGTGCCAGCATCTCATATGGGTACTGGTTTGAGTCCTGGCTGCTCCACTTCTGATCTGGCTCTCTGCTATGGCCTGAGAAAGCAGAGGGAGATGGCCCAAGTCCCTGGGCCCCTGAACTCTGTGTGGGAGACCTGGAGGAAGCTCCTGGCTCCTGGCTTCAGATCACGCAGCTCTGACCATTGCAGCCAATTGGGAGTGAACCAATGGATGGAAGACCTCTCTCTCTCTTTGCCTCTCCTCTCTCTCTGTAACGCTGACTTTCAAATAAATAAATAAATCTTTAAAAAAAAATCATCATTGGTGATACTTCGTTTGAACACTTGATTAAGGGGATTGTCTTGTGCAGTCCAGAGGGCTGGTCACATCATCCAACAAGATATATTGGAAGCCCTGCCTCATGACCAGCTAGAGCTGGACGGCTTTTATTCTGTTAGACAAAATGAACTGGAGCATTAAAAATGCATAGTATAAAAAGAAATAGTAAGGCCGGCGCCGCGGCTCACTAGGCTAATCCTCCGCCTTGCGGCACCGGCACACCGGGTTCTAGTCCCGGTCGGGGCACCAGATTCTGTCCCGGTTGCCCCTCTTCCAGGCCAGCTCTGCTGTGGCCAGGGAGTGCAGTGGAGGATGGCCCAAGTCCTTGGGCCCTGCACCCCATGGGAGACCAGGATAAGTACCTGGCTCCTGCCATTGGAGCAGCGCGGTGCGCCAGCCGCAGCGCGCCGGCCACGGCGGCCATTGGAGGGTGAACCAATGGCAAAGGAAGACCTTTCTCTCTGTCTCTCTCTCTCACTGTCCCTCTGCCTGTCCAAAAAAAAAAAAAAAGAAAGAAAAAGAAAAAAAAAGAAGTAGTAAGAGTATGGAAGCTACAGGGCCAAGGAGAAATAACCACCAGGATTTCCACAATCCAGTGCTGAGCCAGACATTTCAACCCTGTTCGTCCTGATCCTGGAGTTGTCTAACCTCATTCAAAAAATGACAAGAGGCTGCAGTCTTGGCATAGTAGGTGAAGCTGCTGCCTGCAATGCCAGCATCCCATAAGGCTGCCAGTTCTAGTACCAGTTGCTCTATTTCCAATCCAGCTCCCTGCTAATGTGCCTTGGAAAGCAGTGGAAAGTGGCCCAGGTCCTTGGGCCTCTCTACCCACATGGGAGACCCAGATGAAGCTCCTGGTTCCTGGCTTCAGCCTAACCCAGCCCCAGCCTTTGCAGCCATTTGGGGAGTGAGCCAGTGGATGGAAGAGCTCTCTTTCTGTGTCTATCTCTCTCTCTCTCTCTGTAACACTGCCTTTCAAATAAATAAATCTTTTTTAAAGAGAGAGATGGTGAATATGGTTTTGTATGAGTCTAGTTCAATTGACCCAAAAAACACTTCTTGGAACATGGCAAAGACACCTGCCCTGGGCTGCAGGTAGCGTGTCTCACTGCCTGCTCCTTTATCTCTTAATTTCACATTTCATTTTCTGGAAGGCACACCAGTTTACTTGGTTTTATAGTTGTTGTTATTTTTAAGATTTATTTATTTATTTGAAAAGCAGAGCAACAGAGAGGGAGAGATCTTCCATCTGGTTCACCTCCCCAAATGCCCACACAGCCTGATCTGGGCCAAGCCAAAGCCAGGAGCACAGAACTCCATCTGAGACTCCCACATGGGTGGCAGGGTCCCAGGTCCATTATCAGTGAGCTGGGTCAGGAGTGCAGCAGCTGTGTCAAACCAGCTGTTCGGATGCAGTGTCCCAACCGTCAGCTTAACCCACTGTACCACAAAGCCAGCCTGTTTAATTGTTCTTAATACCTTTTGTGATGTAGCACTTGGAAAACTTAAAGATGAGATGTTTCATTTGTGTAGGTTATTATTATTGAACATTCTCCTCCTGTCCCCCATGGGTGATGTCTTGTCTTCATCCTCAGAAAACTTTGGTGAAAACAAAGATAAGATGTAGCCTTGGTGCAGGAAAAGCTGATGGGCTGGTTGCAGAGGGGGCTGTGGGTATAGGAAAGTTGTGAGGCAGACTAGATCAGAAATTGGACTCCCTTCCCCCTGCTCAGTCTCCACTGACTTCTCAACGTGTTGTGTTTCGACCTGAGCATGAATGTTTTTAAAGATATGTTACTGCCCTGTCTTTTTGTCACTCTCCACAAGCCTAATATTTCCCTTTTCTTCAGATAGGTGAAAATGGCGATCCCAAAGCCTTCTTAATAGAGATTTCCTGGACAGAAACCTATCCCCAGACACCTCCAATTATATCTATGAATGCTTTTTTTAACAACACCATGTAAGTAGTGTTTCTTCTTCACCTTTTTTTTTCCATTTTACTCTGTATTTTACTTTTTCTTAGCAAAAAATGTTTGTTGTGTGTTGTAGATCATCAGCTGTAAAGCAGAGTATATTAGCCAAGTTACAGGAAGCAGTAGAAGTTAATCTTGGCACCGCCATGACTTATACATTGTTTGAATATGCCAAGGACAATAAAGAGCAGTTCATGGAGAACCATCATCCCATTAATTCTGCAGTGAGTATGGGTTATTTTTTGCCAGATTCTTCTGCCAGTTGGGCCTTCCTCTGCTGGTAATTAATTTTAATCACTAAATTTTTTTTTTTTTGAAAATTGGGAAGAAACTTGGTGTTAGATTTTAAATGAGAGTTGCTGAGTTAAATAAGAACAACGCATTTTAGATTTCTTATTTAACCAGAAGATGAAATTATGTTCTCTAGACTTTTACCTTTTATTAATGAGGGGGATACTTTTGGTACCTACCAAAACAGAGACATTGTTTGAATTTACTTAGTCTCCTCAGAAAGCTTGGCTATCTAAAAGATTTCTTAAATAGTGCTAAAATATGTGTGGGATTGCTTTTCCATGAGGCTTACTTTGTTTTAAGTGGTGCTGCCAAAGTTCAGTTTGAAGGTGTTACGACTTTGGAAGCCTTTATTGAACAGGACCTGGAACCATTTGCAGCAGCACTTGCCATCTCATAAGCAAACACAAAACTAAATGTTTTAAATGTTTTCTTCAGGGAACCAAGATAAACCAAGATAGGTAGATACAGGCAGTTTTTCTGGAGATGTGTTTAAATGTCCAAATAATAGCAAGTTAAGTTACAAAACTACCTTGGAACCTCTCATCCTCTTTCTCAGGGTTCTAGTTATGACAGTCACACTAGTATAATACTAGTTATTATACTAAATTCCTTTGATGTCAGCTTTTAGAAGAATGAAACCAGTAAAGTGTTAAGGGCACTTTTAATTAATGAATAACAATAAAAGTATAATATTCTTTTATTCACAAATCTAAAAATTAACAACCCATTTCAGAATTTAGCTATATTTGTATGTGTAACTTAATAGGTTTTAAGGCATGAGTCTAAGTGTTATTTCTTTTTTTCTAGACATCCATAAGCAATATCATCTCAGTTGAAACTCCTAATACAGCCCCATCAAGTAAGAAAAAAGATAAAAAAGAACAACTTTCAAAAGCCCAGAAACGTAAGCTGGCAGATAAAACAGGTTTGTGTTATTTTTTTTTCTTTTATAACACACACAAATGTATTGCTTTTTAGTGTGCTATGTATACTTTATAAATATAGACTAATTCTCTTTATTCTTCAAACATTTGGAACAGGGATCTCTTGGGTCACAAATGTATATTGAAAATATTTACTTCATCACAAGGAGTAACTATTTGAAAAAATGGTAACTAAGGGGCACAGTAACTCCAGTGAGTTTTAATACGGAAGAACATTAGCGTAGGACACAAAAACGTGTATTCTGCTGGGACCCACTAACATGTAATAATCTTGTTTCTCTCCTGTAATAATCGTAGGGTTAGTTTTAGTTTCCCTTTCTGTAAAATTATTATAATGTGCTTATTTTGAATGCGGATTTTTTGAAGATTTCATAAAATGAGACATATATAGTATACAAAGGAAGTAAATCATTTTAAATTGAAGAATTTTAAAAAAGTGTATATTTATTAAGCTATTATTAGAATATTCCTCTTTAAGAATTACTTATTTATTTGAAAGGTAGAGTTACAGAGAGGCAGAGGCAGAAGCAGAGAGAGAAGTCTTCTTGCTGGTTCACTCCCCAAATGGCTACAACAATCAGAGCTGGGCCAGACCAAAACCAGGAGCAGGAGCTTCATCCAGGTCTCCCATGTGGGTGCAGAAGCCCAAGCACTTAGGCCGTCTTCCGCTGCTCTCCCAGGCACATTAGCAGGGAGCTTGATCAGAAGTGGAGCAGCTGGGACTGGAATTGCTGTCCATATGGGATGCTGGCACTGCAGGCATTAGCCTGATGTTCCATAGCGCTTGCCCCTAATTTAGAATATTCTTAATAAAGAGTGAAAACATTTGCAGACTTTGAACTTTTAGATAAATTCTTGTGAGCTAGTTTGAAGCATTCCTCAATGGATTTAAAGCCTTTTTAAAAGAATGTTTGCTTAAATAATGATTTTTTTTTAAACTTTGAATGGCAGAGTGTCAGAGAGGGAGAGACAGATCCTCAGTCCTCTGGTTCACTCTCCAAATGGCCACAATGGCCAGGGCAGGGCCAGGCTGAAGCTAAGAGCCAGGAACTCCATCCAAGTCTCCCACATGGGTGTCAGGGAGCCGTCATCTGCTGTTTACTGAGGTTCATTCGTAGAGAGCTGATTCAGAAACAGAGCAGCCGGGACTTGAACCAGAGCTCTGATAAATCCTGGCAGTGTAAGCAGTGGCTTCACCTGCTACCCCCAGATAATGAGCATTTTATCAGAGCACAGCAATGAACATCTAATTTATCTGGACCACCCTTTAGTCTTGAAGCCAAAGACTTTTTTTTTTTTTTTTTTTTTTTTTTTTTTGTGATGGGCAGTTAGTGAGAGAGAGAGAGAGAGACAGAGAGAAAGGTCTTCCTTCTTTGTGATGGGCAGAGTTAGACAGTGAGAGAGAGAGAGAGACAGAGAGAAAGGTCTTCCTTCTGTTAGTTCACCCTCCAAATGGCTGCTACGGCCAGCGCGCTACAGCCAGCGTGCTGCACCAATCTGAAGCCAGGAGGCAGGTGCTTCCTCCTGGTCTCCCATGCGGGTGCAGGGCCCAAGCACTTGGGCCATCCTCCACTGCACTCCCGGGCCACAGCAGAGAGCTGGACTGGAAGAGGAGCAACCAGGACAGAATCCGGCGCCCCAACCAGGACTAGAACCCGGGGTGCCGGCGCCACAGGCAGAGAATTAGCCTAGTGAGCTGTGGCACCGGCCACCAAAGACTTTTTTATAAGGCCTCCTATCTTGAACCTAGCCTCATGGTATAAAATGCTAACTCATAAAATAGTGAGCCAACACAATTTTTTATTTGAAAAAGCAGTCACTTTATGTAAAGCAGTAGAATTGTGCACATGCATGGATCTGATAAATTGATTAGCTCTTTTTTCTGGCATTGCCCACCAACCTCCATAGTTTCAGGTGGATAAAAGGCTTTCTCTCAAATGGAAGAAGGATAAATATAAAAGGGGGTTTACCTCACCTACTTTGGAAGTATTTTCATGAGAACAATGTGTTCAGTTCACAGTGATGATCAATTCTCTTTCCAAATGAGTGACATGTTTAAATGTTTAGCCTATTCATTGTGTGCAGTAGCATATTAAATCCTGTCTATTAGGAAATTAATTTTAAACTAACTGGTACTAGAAATCACATTCTGAATTTTCATCCTGTAGACCACAAAGGGGAACTCCCTCGGGGCTGGAACTGGGTTGATGTCGTGAAGGTATGTAAAGTCTGTGTTCGAGTCTTCAAAATTGTTACGTGACTGCCGTCAAATAATGAGATTTGTGTTTTCCGTTTCCCCTGCCACGTTTGGGATTCACCGGCACGTCTGCTTCCTCCTTCCCGCTCAGCATGTAAGTAGTTGTGCCATATCCTTCACAGACCTCTCTTTCCTACCCTCCTAGTTCTAGGTTTGCTTTTTGTAAATAATGGGAAATCTTAAGAAGTCACTTGTAACTACAATAAAATCTGACTTTATGTAAATACATCTTAAGAATGGACTTGCTCGGGGCCAGCGCTGTGGTGCAGTGGGTTAATCCTCCACCTGCAGCGCCAGCGTCCCATATGGGTACCGGGTCTGGTCCCAGCTGCTGCTCTTCCAATCCAGCTCTCTGCTGTGGCCTGAGAAAGTGGTGGAGGATGGCCTGAGTCCTTGCGCCCCTGCACCCACATGGGAGACCGGAAGGAGGCACCTGGCTCCTGGCTTTGGCCATTGTGGCCACCTGGGGAGTGGGCCAGCGGGCAGAGGACCTTTCTCTGTCTCTCCCTCTCACTGTCTGTGGCTCTCTCTCTCAAATAAATAAATAAAATCTTAAAAAAAAAAAAAGAATGGACATGCTCAAATATGACTCTCAGTTACCAATAATATAGAAACTGAAGAAAGCCAGTCATGGAATAGAATGCTCTAATTTCTTAGGAGAAACTATAAGCTTTTTCTTTAAGGATAGATCTTATTTATTTATTTATTTATTTTTGACAGGCAGAGTGGACAGTGAGAGAGAGAGAGACAGAAAGGTCTTCCTTTTGCTGTTGGTTCATTCTCCAATAGCCACTGTGGCCGGCACGCTGCGGCCGGCGCATCACGCTGATCCAAAGGCAGGAGCCAGGTGCTTCTCCTGGTCTCCCATGGGGTACAAGGCCTAAGCACTTGGTCCATCCTCCACTGCACTTCCGAGCCATAGCAGAGAGCTGGCCTGGAAGAGGGGCAACCGGGACAGAATCCGGCGCCCCGACCGGGACTAGAACCCGGTGTGCTGGTGCCGCAAGGCGGAGGATTAGCCTAGTGAGCCACGGCGCCGGCCTAAGGCTAGATCTTAATGTTGTTGTTTGTCATTGCAAAGAAAGTTTACCACTTTTGTTGTTTGAAATTGTTTACTTTCCATTTTGTATTTTTCTGCCAACTTCTCTCATATTTTTCTTGCATTATCTGTAGTTTCAGATATATTAATGAGATACTTAACACAATAAGTTAATTCTCTTTATAGTGCTTCACAAAAAAACTTTTGTAAGCCAGTTAGTGCCACATCTGCTGAAAGTGTTTAATGTGATCTATAGCTAGTTAAAAATTAGGATTCTAGTGAGGACCTACAGTAATGGGTAATTTATTAGCAGTGTATTCTTAAAGGTTGCCTTTCAGTAAATAAATAAAATATATTTTAGGGGCCAGCATTGTGGCATAGCAGCTGCCAGCAGCCCATATGGGTGCCAGATCAAGAACCAGCTGCTCCACTTCCAGTCTAGCTCCCTGCTAATGCACCTGGGAAAGCAGCAGAAGATGGCCCAAGTGCTTGGGTCCCTGCACCCATGTAGGAGACCCAGAAAAAGCTCTGGACTCCTGGCTTCAGTCTGGCTATAGTGGCCATTTAAGAAGTGAACCAGCAGATGAAAATCTCTCTGTCTTTCCTCCACTCTCTGAAACTTTTCCTTTCAAATAAATAAAAAATAAATAAATATTATAAATAATGTATAATATTATACAATACATAATATATAAACAATATATTATAAACAATATATGATGTTATATTATATAATATAAATAAATAAACTTTTCCTTTCAAATAAATAAATAAATCTTTTTAAAAAAAGATGTATTTTAAAGTCAGCTATTTGGTTCATGGGATGCATTTCTGTAGAAATTGTTTAAAATAATTTCTGTACATCTGGAATCCAATTTGAAAACAGGAAGTGGGAGTAAGGAGCCATGAGCTGCAGTTGGAGTACAGAAATACAGTATTTGTTCCCCTGTGCTGGGCAGTTGGCTGACCCTGTACAGGAAGTTTCTCATTGACCTGAGCCCCTCTCCACTGATGCCCGATGGGTACTTCACGTTGTGCTGGGTACACCTGCGTGTAACTCGCCAGTGAAGTCCATCCTCTCCTCAAAATGCTCTGTGTTTAGAACGAGCCATTTTGTGGGACAGAGTATGTGCAGCGGATCTCAACTGAAAGTAAGATCTAGAAGCGGTGACAGTACTCCTTTCCCTATCTGGAGAAGTTTTCTGGTGATTTTTAAGAGTCCTTGTTAATATAAATATGGAGTTTCAGATAAAAAAATTTTTAATGAAATTCAAATAAGCCAGTAATCTTGGGAGATGGCAGAAGGTATTTTGAAGGAGGTCACTGCATAGACAGTTTGTCCTGAGTTGATTACCCTGAGCCAGTGGTTTTCAAGTGTGCTCCTGTACCCCCTCAGGGATTATGCAAAGTCAACCATTTACATCATAATCATGCTGTTTGCCTTTTCCATTGGCTTTGCCTTGAGTGTGCATGGTGTGTCCAGAGGCTGTGGGTGTGTGATGCAGTAGAGTGTGTGCTTATGTTCTCCAGAATGTATAAGGTAGTAGGTTTATGAACTAAATGTGTGCATTATTAACTCAGGTGGTTCCTAGCACTTCTGTGCCACTTTCCAATATGCTGGCTTTACCGTTGAAGCAATTTGTGAGAATCCAGCTGTCTTACAAAAATATAAAAGCAGCACCACTTTTCACTTTTTTTGTTCTTATTAGAAAATATAGTATTTTTCCTTTAAAAATATTATTAGGTTATCATATAATGTGTTTATTGTTTTTATGTAAATTTAAATTCTCAGTTTTAATTTCAAGTGCAATAGGTATAACCTCATTTAAAAAGTTCTAAGGGGCCGGCGCTGCGGCTCAATAGGCTAATCCTCCACCTAGTGGCGCCGGCACACCGGGTTCTAGTCCCTGTCGGGGCGCTGGATTCTTTCCCGGTTTCCCCTCTTCCAGGCCAGCTCTCTACTGTGGCCCGGGAAGGCAGTGGAGGATGGCCCAGGTGCTTGGGCCCTGCACCCGCATGGGAGACCAGGAGAAGCACCTGGCTCCTGCCATCGGATCAGCACGGTGCGCCAGCCGCAGCGCGCCAGCCGTGGCGGCCATTGGAGGGTGAACCAACGGCAAAAGGAAGACCTTTCTCTCTGTCTCTCTCTCTCACTATCCACTCTGCCTGTCAAAAAAAAAAAAAAAAAAAATCTAAGGGTCCTCAAATTTTGAGAGTGTAAAGAAGTCCTCGGGACAAAAAGTTTAAAAGTCACTACCCTTAGTAGTTTCTGCTTTTTGTAGCTTCCCACATTCCCTGGAACTCTTGAGGTTGTTAGATACAGTGGAGTTTGTTTATTTATTTGAATGGCAGAGACCACCCAACTGCTGGTCCACTCTCCCAGAATGCTCACAGTAGCTGGGACTAGGTTGGGCTAAAGCTAATGCTAAGAACTCAATCCAGGTCTCCTCCACTGCTCAGGTTGTCACTGCTACTTCTAGGAGTCTGTGTTAGCAAGAAGCTAGAGGTGGGAGCAGAGCCAGATGCTGAACCCAGGTGCTCTGATGTGGGACATGGGTGTCTTAAGCAGCATCTTTTTTTTTTTTTTTTTTTTTTTTTTTTAAGATTTGTTTACTTGAAAGTCAGAGTTATAGAGAAAGAGGGAGAAACAGAGGTCTTCCATCTGCTGATTCGTTGTCCAGATGGCTGCAATGGCCAGGGCTGGGCCAAACTGAAGCCAGGAGCCAGGAGCTTCTTCCTCCAGGTCTCCCACATGGGTGGCAGGGACCCAAACACTTGGGCCATCTTCCACTGCCTTTCTAGGCCATTAGCAGGGAGATGGATTGGAAGTGGAGCAACCAGGACTAGAACTGGTGCCCATATGGGATGCAGTGTAAAGCCATGGGATGAAGTGTAAAGCCACAGGCAGTGGCTTTACCCACTACACAACACCGGCCACCTAACCAGCATCTTGACAACTAGGCCAAACATCTGTCTAAGTGGTTATTCTGATCAGAAGTGCTTTAGTACCATTGGATACTTATTTTTCCTCCACCCACATTTGCTAGCTCCTGCCAAAGATTATCATCAAAAGATAAATTTAAGATTTTTTTTATTGTGTTTTCAAAACTGTAAGAGTTTATTTGATTAAAATAGTAAATCATATATTGTGTTTTTAATCAGAATTTGAAATTTTTTAAAATGTATTATCTGCAATACAAAACAAAAATGGAAGAGTGTCATTCTTTTTTTTTTTTTTTTTTAAGGTTTATTTATTTATTTGAAAGAGTTACAGAGAGAGATTCTCCATCTGCTGGTTCACTCCCCAGATGGCTGCAATGGCCAGGGACAGGCCAAGCTAAAGCCAGGAGCCAGGAACTTCTTCTGGGTCTCCCATGTGGGTGGCAGGGACCCAAGCACTTGAGCCATCTTCCCCTGCTTTCCCAGGTACATTAGGAGGGAGCTGGATCAGACATGGAGCAGCTGGGACATGAACTGGTACCCAGATGGGTTGCCAGTGTTGCAGGTACAGCTTTACCTGCTACATCACAATGGCCACCCCATGTCATTCATTTTATAAGTGGCATCTTCTATTTTTATATTCTTTCTCCCAGTTTCTTTTGTTTAAGCTTTTATATTTCTATTTTTTTTTTTTAAGATTTATTTTATTTATTTGAAAGGCAGAGCAACAGAAAGAAAAACAGGTTTTTCATCTGCTGGTTCACTTCCCAAATTGTCACAGGTCTGGGCCTGGCCGCAGCCAGAGCTAAAGACTCCATTCGGGTCTCCACCTGGGTGGCAGGGCTCAAGCAGTTCAGCCATCACTCGCTGCCTTCTCTGGTGCATTAACAGGGAGCTGGATGGGAAGCAGAGAGGCTAGGACTTGAACTAAGCATTGCCAAGTCGTGACTTAACCTGCTGTGTCACAACCCTGGCCCCTCCAGTTTACTTCATGGAATATTTCAGGAGATTTTTTTTTCCTTTCTGTTCTGTTGAGGTTATATTTTCATTGACATTGTATTTTCTAAAACCTACTTGAAGTAGGTAAGCTTGAAGTTGAAAATAAGCTATAGATGGTGTAAGTTACTCAAACCTTGCTGCCTGTTGTTTACTTAATTTTGATATTGAGTGGAAATAACACAATCACTTGTTGAATATTTGTTTTCTCTTTTTTCATAGTTAAGCAAAACTGGCTCTAAAGATGATGAATAACAACTTGGGATTTGAGAAGTAAACACATCGTTTAGACAGTAAACTGGGTTGAAAATCTTTCATTACTATTTTCTGGTATTGAGGTGGCTTTTTATAAAGCACAGTTTTTTTGTAAGTTTCTTACATAAAAAATGTTTTAAGTGGAAAGTTCATGAAGAGATCTGGTTGTATTGTTTTCACAAACTTGCCTTAATAAAAGGTGAAAATGTTAATTGTTAGTATACTTTATGAACTGTGTTGAGCTTTATAACTGGTCAATAGGGAATAATAATCGTTGTTAATTTATATGATCTTATTCCAGTAGATGTGATAGTTTTTAAAGGCGAACAAAGCCTTTTTCAAACTGTCACCCCCATACAGCGGAGTACTGAGTCCAGTTATTCCATAGTGTGCCCCGTGTTGCTGGGGTTCTAGAATAAAGTCTTTATCTCTGCTTTTGTTTAATTACTGAAGCACACATTGCCTCAGAGAAGTTTAAATACCAGTATTTGAATTTTACACATGGGTACTCTTCATAGTTCGTTTTTATTTCTCAAGTGTGACCCTTTAATAAATTAGTATCTTTATATTTTTATCTTGATTTGTGTCACAATATTTGATCATGAGAGCTTTCAGTGATAAATGGATTAGGAGAATATAAAAACAAATCCGCCAAATACATTTGAAAGCATTCGTGTAGTAAGTGTTAGCTCTTATTTAAAAGATTTCTCTTTGCGGCATATATCAGGATGAGAGTGAAAAAATGCCTTAATGTTTAATTTTTGTGTTGTTGGAGACAATGAGCTCAGTAAATTCATATTTATCTACTGTTTTGTGTTTTTAGTCCTTGGATAACTGAATCCTTCCAGATGGTTCAACATGGAACCACATTTCAAGTCTTATTTCCTTTCAGGATCTTTCCAAGTATCCACATACATTTTTCAACCTGAGCATCTTTTTAATACAAAGAAGCCTTTCAGAAGCTAAGCTATCATATACACTTGATTTGTTTTTAAATCTTGAATAGAGGAAACTATTACTGTTTCACCAGAAAAAGTTACTGATGTTGACGTGTGATTTAGTTTATACTCCCCAGCTTTAAGAACACTTAGACCTACTGCTTTGTCTGGAAGGACAGATGTTAGTTCTTCAAGTTACTATACTTGTGCAACTTGAGTGAGAGTTTTTTAATAAACATCTAACTGTGCAAAAAGAAGTTACCTTAGTGTGAGAGCAGGTTTGAGTTGTACCCATGGTTTTCACTGGGTTAGTTTTCACTTCAGTCAAATCATTTGAATTATAAAGAATTATAGTGAAGGAGTTTAATCGCATTTTCAAAAGCTGAATCACATTTTCTTTCTTGATTAATATAGAGCAAAATGTTGAAATTCAGGACCACTGGTATATGCCAATTTTTGTTGGGGTTGTACATATGTAGTTCTTGTTGTGTTGATTTGTTTGTTTACTATTTTGAAGAAACATCTGCTCATGGAAGAAAATACTTTGTTTTGCTCTAAAGATCCCAAAACTGATCAGGCTTATCGTTGTTCGTAGATTACAAAGAGTAATGCTAGTTAAATGCCAATGAACTATTTTTACACTTTTTATATGAAATGTACAGATTTCTGGGGTGGTGGTGGCAGTGGTGCCTCTTATTACCTTCTGTAAGACACTTGAGCCTTCTCATCAATACTGCCATCATCTGTCTGATATTCCCAGTATATTTTCTCAAAGTCTGTTTACTTAAAATTGTGTGGAATGACATAATAAGCAATAAAGTCTGCATTACCGTGATTTTTCTACATGTTTTATTTCAAATCACCATAGAAAAATGTTGATTTTATAAATCTGCATAGCCATATTTGGTACACAATACACCCTCCTACTTAGAAACTATTCAAAATGTTGGATTAAAAAAGTGTTCTTCATATCAGCTCACACAAAAGAGTACCCAGAGCCTAACAAACTAAATAAAAGGTACAACCTGGAGGTTAATGACAGCTTTACAGCTTCAGGGGCTCAGAGATGGGAGATGAAGTCCACACAGACAGCATATGCAAGGCTGAGACCCATTCCCCAGTGAGGGCCCTGTCTGGATAGAGGGGTGAAGTATGAGCCTATGTATACATATACACATACCATAAACTCTCCTGAAAAGTGTGTCCCTAAATAACCTCAGTGTTAGATTTCAGCCCAAATTCCTGCCTGTATGAATGATCTTAAAAAAAAGGCCAATAAAAGTAACCCAGATTTAAGTGCTACGAATGTGTAGTGGCTCTAGGCAACTGATAGAAACTAACACAGATCTGCTCTGGAAGAAAGCGCCAATTCAGTTCCTGGAATGTAGAAAAAAAAAAAATCATACAACACATGGGAGTAAGGCAGTATGAGAGCCTGCTGAAAAAAAAGAACTATAGGGAGTAATATACTGACTAAAGTATTTTAAATAAGAGGAAATTGGAAAACAGACCTATTAAAAATCACCAAATTTATAAAAGAACAAAAGAGAGCCTCTCAAACTGAAAAATGGCCTAAAAATACATTTATAAAAGGGAAAAAAAAATGGGCTGGCATTCGGCACAGAGGTTGGAATGCCTGGATTTGCGTGTGGCTCCACTCCGGATTGCACCTTCTTGCTGGTGCAATGGCTTGCTTGGTGATGGCTCAAGTAGGTGAGTCCCTTGCCACCCACATAGGAGACCCTGATTGGAGCTCTGGGCGCCTGGCTTCAGCCTGGCCCAAGCCTGCTGTTCCTATTTGCTGAGTGAACCAGGAAATGAGAAGTCTGTGCCTGTGCTTGTCTGTTTCTGTGTCTTTGCCTTTCAAACAAGTAAAAGTAAATGAAACACTTTTCCAATGAAAAGCATAATTGAAATTAAAGTTACAGGTGACAGGTATTTGCTTGCAGAGTTCTCTGGCAAGTCTGAAGTGTATAAATATCCCATGGAATGAAATTGGTACTACACCTGCATTTGGTTTCCTCATGCAGCAGTAGCACCTCAGTCATCCATCTCATTTCATTACAGGCCACCACAGTGTAGATTAGTTGGGGGATTCAAACCTTTGCCAGGCACTTCTTGGTACCACGAGTATGTAAATCTTAGACCTTGCTTCAGAAGAGAGCAGTGATGAGGTTGCGGCCAGTGTTTCCCAAGCGCTGAACGTGGTCACTTCAGAAAGAATGAATTCAGGGGCAGGCTACTGGTGCAGTGGTTAAGACACTTCTTGCGAGGCCCACGTTCCAAATCAGAATGCCTGTGTCTGAGTTCCAGCTATGCTTCCGTCTTTCTCTGCTTAAGTGTGACCTAGGAGACAGCAGGTGATCCCTCAAGTAGTTGGGTCCCTGCCACCCACGTGTGAGACCCAGATTGAGTTCCAGGCCTCTGGGTTAGCCTGGCACAGCCCTGGATCTGTTGGAGGCATTTGGGGGGGGTGAACCAACTGACAGAAACTCATATTACTTTCTTTTTTCTTTTTAGATTTATTTGAAAGGCAGAGTTACAGAGAGAAAGGGAGACAGACCTTCCATCCTCTGGTTCACTCCCCAGGTGGCTGTAATGGCTTGGGCTGGGCTGGACCAAAGCCAGGAGCCAGGAGCTTCTTCCAGGTCTTCCACATGGGTATAGGAGCCCAGGCACTTGGGCCATCCTCTGTTGCTTTCCCAGGCACATTACCAGGGAGCTGGATAGGAAGTAGAGCAGTCGGGACTTGAACTGGTGCCATATGGGATACCAGGATTGCAAACAGTGGCCTCACCCACTGTGCCACATAGCCGGCCCTGTGGAGCTCATATTTCTTTCCTCCTCTCTTTCAAATAAAATGAAAATAACAAAGTTTTTGTTAGTTAAATTTTTATTTTAATTTTTAATTAATTTTTCACAAATTCAATGTGATTTGTAGTTCTAAGAGCAGATACTTTCTTCCTCTGAGCTCCCTCCCTAGCTCGTTCCCTCCCTTTCCTCTTCCTTTCATCCTCCTTAAATAAAACTTTAAAATAATAAATTAAAAATAGCGCTATATAATAACAGTAAAGCTTATTTAGTTTTGTTTCTTACCATTAAATATTCCACACAGAACAAGAGGGATTTAAGTAGTGTATGATTCCAAACAGTTATGTGACAGGAGAAAATAATATGTGACCTAAAGTGTTTTTCAAACCACACTTTGCAATCCATTGGAAAATTGAAAATTTTTACTAGCATTTTTTAAGATTTTATTTATTTATTTGAGAGGCAGAGTTACAGACAGTAAGAAGGAGAGAGAGAGAGAGAAAGGTCTTCCATCCGCTGGTTCACTCGCCAAATGGCTGCAACAACCAGAGTTGTGCCGATCGAAAGCCAGGAGCCAGGAGCTTCTGGGTCTCCCATTCGGGTGTAGGAATTGAAGCACTTGGGCCATCTACTACTTTCCCAGGCCATAGCAGAGAGCTGGATTGGAAGGGGAGCAGCCGGGACTAGAACTGGAGTCATATGGAATGCTGGCACCACAGGCAAAGCATTAACCTAGTGCGCCACGGCGCCGGCCCCTTTACTAGCATTTTTAATGTAGTAGAAGAGAACAGAGTTGAACAAAAAATACCAGCACACACTACCTATTGGAATTTTTTTCATGTGAAAAACTTGCTTATATGTGTGTGTGTGAGTGTGTATGTGTGTGTGTGTGTGTGTGTGTGTGTGTGTGTATATATATATATATATATGTACTGGGTCATGGAACTGTTGTGCTATGGCCTGTTAAGCTGTCACTTGTGACAGCCACAATTGTGCACCCATATGGAGCATCGGGGTTCAAGCCCCAGCTACTCCGCTTCCAGCACCCTGCTAATGTTCCTGGGAAGGCAGCAGATAATGGCTCCAGTACTCGGGCCCTTACCAACCAGGTGGGAGAGCAAGCTGGGAGTTCCTGACTCTTAGCTTTAGCCTGGACCAGCCCTGACCTTTGTGGCCATTTAGGGAGTGAACCAGTGGGTGGAAGATCTCTCTCCCTTTCTGTCACTCTGCCTTTCAGATAAATAAATCTTTAAAAGAACTGAGTAGTGATGAACAAGTTTGAAAGCCACTGATCAGAAAAAAACAAAAGGTGGAACAACTTTTATATGAAGACTTAATTTTTAAAAACAAAGTAGACCTTTAAAGTGTTAAGAACTTTTATCACTGATACTGCATTATCTGAAGACCAGTTAAGTACAGCTACATCCGCACACTCATTTTAAGAAGAGGAGCAAATGTTTAATTAGAGTGGGATCTTGAATGACTGAATTTGGAATAATGAAAGCACTTGCTTGATGATTTTTTTTTTTAAGATTTATTGATTTATTTGAAAGGCAGAGTTACAGAGAGGCAGAGGCAGAGAGAGAAAAAGGTCTTCCATCCACTGGTTCACTCCCCAGATGGCCTCAATGACTAGAGCTGGGTCTATCTGAAGCCAGGAGCCAGGAGCCTCTTCCGGGTCTCCCATGCAGGTGCCAAGGACTTGGGCCATCTTCTGCTGCTATCCCAGGCCATAGCAGAGAGCTGGATTGGAAATGAATCAGCCAGGACTTGAACCGGCGCCCACATGGGATGCTGGCACTGCAGGTGGCAGCTTTACCCACTACGCCACAGCGCCAGCCCCCAAAAAGAACATTTTAAGAAGTTTTGCCTGAATAGAGACAAATAATCATTATAGTTTTAATTTCTTGCTGATGAAAAACAAAAATAAGAAAAACAGGTTAATTTTCCCACCATTTCTAAAGGAAAAATCACTTGCTGAGTTTCCTGTGTAAATCTGGTTTCCAAAATAAATTGCAATAGGCTGATGGCAGCGATAAAACAGACAGGAAGCACTCCTGCCCCTGCCCATTTTCTGTTTGTTATTGTTGGCATCTGGGAGATTTTCAGTGATCTCACACGTCTCTCTATGGCCTTCTGGAACTATGCTGTGTCCTTTTCTGGGCCTGCCAGGGAGACTTGTCCTTTGGGGAAACTTGATGTTTTAAGCTACAGTTTCAATGTTCAGTGCACAGAATGTAGCTTGGAAAAGGAGGAAACTTCATGGGAAGGGAGGATGCAAATCAGAGATGTTTTACTTCATAAATAGGTGATTAGAAGTGAGCCTTACAAGTTTTAATGTGACAATGTGTAGGCTACTGACAGGTAAGAAAAGGCTTTTGTTTAGTGCGGATGTGGAGTCTCCTTGGAGGAATTCCGAGAGGCTAAAGATTCTCCTTATGCCTGCCCAGGGATGGGTCTTCCTGTCCCTGCTGCAAGGCACAGCTGAAAACCATGTATTTGGGTTTTTTAATTGTTGTTTTGGGTTTTTGTTTTTGTTTTGTTTGTTAGATTTATTTTATATATTTAAAGGCAGAGTTGAAAAGACAGATCTTCCATCTGCTGGTTCACTCCCCAAATGGCCACAATGGAAAGGGCTAGGCCAGGCCAATGCCAGGAGCCTGGAACTCCATCACCTTCTCCCACGGTGGGGCAGGGGCCCAAGCACTTGGGTCATCTGCTGCTGCTGTCTCAGGCACATTAGCAGGGAGCTGGATGGGAAGTGGAGCGGCTGGGCCTCGAACCCCCCTGATCATAGGGCAGATACTGGCGGTGCCACAATACCTGCCCCCTTGTGGTTGTTTTTTCAGCAGACAGAAGGTGCTGAGTCACTGGGATCTCTTATTAAAGGAGCTAGTAAGGTTGGGCACCAGAGTCTGGGGAGGTCTTCACATCTCTCAGGCTTTTTCCATGGAAGCAAGCACTTCAATGCTGACCTCTTTTCTACAGTCTGTATTTTTCTTTCTTTCTTTCTTTCTTTCTTTC